AGAAAAATGAAAAAAAAAAAAAAAAAAAAAAAGAATTAACCTAGAAGGTAACACCCACGCACAGGAAATCAATGTGAGTCAATGCCCTGTATAGCTATCCTTATCTCAACCAGCAAAAACCCTTGTTCCTTCCTATTATTGCTTATACTCTCTCTACAACAAAATTAGAAATAAGGGCAAAATAGTTTCTGCTGGGTATTGAGGGGGGGAGAGGGAGGGGGTGGAGTGGGTGGTAAGGGAGGGGGTGGGGCAGGGGGGAGAAATGAACCAAGCCTTGTATGCACATATGAATAATAAAAGAAAAATGAAAAAAAAAAAGACTGTCAGTCTTCTTCATATTCTTGTTGAGTAATACAATAAATGCCCAATACATGTCACCAGAAAGGAGACAGGAATACAGTGTCTCTATGTTCATTCACACACAAAAAAGGAAAGGAGGGAGGAAAGGAAGAAAGGAATTAATAGAATGAGTGAATGCAGCTAGATGCAAAGCTTGATCGTTTAGAGCTTTGGTAGTGTCAACATTGGTCCCATGACTTCGAGCACTTTCAGTTCTTTCCTGCTAATAAATTCTGAAAGTGCATCCACCAAGTAATCAGGAAAGGAATATAGCCCAATACAGGATTGGCACACATTAAAAAAATGTAAGAATTCCTCAGATTGTTCTTTCCTATTCTGCTTAGTACTGGGGTTGATACAAAGGATACAAATAAATTGATCCACTCTAATGAGGGCTCAACATTGAGGAGAGCATTACACCTAGACTCCTAAGGAGAGGGATAAAAGCTTAATGACATGTTGCGTTTGTCAGTTTCTGTGATGAAACATTTACACCATGGCTGATTTTATTCTACCAATAACTTCTGCATTAAACTTCAGTGCACCATCTCTCTTAAGTAGCCAATGCATGGTTCTCAGTAGTCCCTCTGCACACCCATGAGTCTTCCTCCCATTACTTTTCTGACTCTTAACATCTTTTTAGCTGTTTTGTTGTTTATTAACATCTTTATCTCGTGAAGGACAAGGAAAATAGAGTACAGGGAAGCGCCTGGTTTTGCTGTCAGTGGTTCTCTCAGAGGAGGTGAAATTACTGGCCAGATGTTTGTATGGGTTTCAATTATCCCACTCTCTCTATCCCTGGTCACTACAGGCAATGGAGACTAAACAGCTTAACCAAATGCACAAAATACAAACATACTTTCTGACCAAATATAGAATTAATGGTCATGACCTAGAAAGAGAGAGAAAAAAGAGCTATGCTGAAAAAACCTAAGAAGTGTCAAAATTCATCGAGATGGCAGAGGGATGTTAAACTGGGAAGTTAAACAATTTCTCTGAGTAGAGACAACATGGAAAATACTTTTCTGAATGTTAAAGATCATCCAGCACTCTGGACCAAAATCTAAACAGGAAAAGGGATACCAAAAGGGAGGGAAAAAAACACTAAGAAAATAAAATCATCTGTGATGATTTAACTAGCAAAGGTCTTGCTACACACAGCAAAGGGGCCCTTTGGGTGGCACTTATGCTTAGACAGAAGAGGAAAGCTGTCCCTGTTTCTAACAGAGGTGAAGCCACAGTACAGCAATCCATCACAAACTGTGCCCTGCTCTAGGACAACTCAGCTTCTCGAAGTGAAGAATGGAGATCAAAGTGAGAGTCGTCTATAAAAACAGTTTTATTTTTATGGCTCAGTAAATGTTTATTGAAGTGAGTCCCATTCTCTGTGGCAACACTCGGCAGATGCAGCCTCCTCGTGAGCAGAGCTGGGGAAGGGGTGGGAATGTGCATTCAGCTTTGCTGGATGGCTTCATTTGACCCACTGTCTAAGCATTTGTAGCAACAGCTGTTGCTTTACCTGAGTGTGAGGTATAGTAACCTAAACTCAAACCACACAGGAAAAATTAGAAAAATCAAAACTATGCAAAGAAGATAATATAAGATAAACACACACTATCACAGAGTTGTTCTATGTCAAGACAAGCAGAACCCGAAGGGAGGGCATTTTTGTTCCTCTTGAAGTACAAATTGGTGAAAAAGGAGTTTCTGAATTGTAAAATAAAATAAACAAATAAATAAAAACATGCAAGGGGTAACATTTGGGGCTAGCTACTGGTTTCACAACCTGGAGGGAGTCCAAGAGAGTGACACAAAGAGGCAAATCAATCTGGAGCTATTCTGCATCAAACAGTTACCTATCTCAAGTATAATAGTTTATGGCCATCAGGGCTGTGTGTGATGACCTAAATGGGCAACTTTATGGTATAAAAATGAGACAATAAGGTCTTAAGAGTTGGCAAAAGCCACTGGTGAACACAGAAGCACAGGCAGTCACCTGGGCATCCACCGGGGTCACATCTGGCAGAGGCAAATATGAGATCGTGCAGTATGGATGGGAGGTGTTAGATTGTAAAAAAACAAACAGATTAGAAACCTTGAGCAGGTTTAGGAATAGGGCTCGGTGGTGGAGTAACTGCCTTGCACATGAGGCCTTGGGTTTGATCTCCAACATCACAAACAAATCAATCTTGAGGAATTAAATTAATGCAAAACTCTAATGTGGATCAAGATGTGGTGAAGCCCAGCAGAGTAGCTGGTTCTTCCGAGTAGGGTGGAAAGAGCCAAAAACTGAAGTGTCCACCACAATCTCCAGAGGCCTGGTTTTCAAATGTCAGAGGACGAGAAATGCCATGTGGACAGAACTGCAGCAAAGAGAAGCACTGACAGTTTTAACAGAAGCTGGAAGTGTACAGCTTTTTACAAATACTCCCCTAAGATCTGCATTTGCATACTGCCTACCACTGATTTCACATGCTGCATGGTTGTGCGTGCACAGATCTAACCTCTGAAGTCTTCCATAAAACAAAGGAACTAAATTCTACGAAGTTAACAACTGGAAGAGGAGAATATGGGCCTCCAAGTTTTAAAAGGACAGCCCTAGAGCAATGCTATTTCACTAAAAGAACAGCAAGGACCACTTGGGACACTGAGACTTCAGCCCAAATGTCACAGACCCACAGCCACTCCACCCTCTCCTGGCCTGCACCTAAACCCACATCCCAGAAAGGCACCACCTGGTCTCAGGACATTCCATCCCCTGGATTATATGATGACATCTCTGTCTCCTACCCTCCTAACAGGGTACAATTTTCTAAAAGCAGAGAAAATCCTTTCCAAGAAAATAAACACTCCTGAACAACTGTCCCATTCTGTTACCTATTTGGATTACATAATTACTGTGAAGTCAAAACTTTCATATTGACACGCCAGAAAGAACTCTGGGCTCATACAAACCCAGCTACCCTTTTCTTCACTGAAGTTCTACACAAATCTCTCCATCCCTAAAAAGCAGTTGCCTGTGCCCACTGTCATGTTAATGAAACACTCCACTGTGTCACCTCCGTGGGGAAACAGAAACTCAGATCAAAGTAGTTTAAGTCTGTGGGATACACAAATCTTACAGATGATATTCTTCAACAACAATAACAAAAACCCCAGTCCTAAACTGCCCTGCATAGAAAAAGAACAGTGAACATCTTTTCCAGGTTCTATTAAGGATAATGTGGATGGAATATATCCTATCTCTTTTGTTCCACTGTAGGTCAAATGGTTACTGGCATCCTTTAGCAGTCACCGAATAAAAGGCTAAACCTCCTCCCCAGCCACCCCTCACCAGTTATTATGAGCTCCCCTTTCAGGAGTGTTCAGGGGAAGAAAAACAAAATAAAACCACTGAACCAGGTTGGCTAGAATCCCACGGGGCACATTAATTAAGGTATCTGTACTCTTCCGGTTGGGATGGTAGTTTAAAAAAAAAAGGTGCTCTAACTTTTACAGCCTGCTCTAATTTGTTCACTTGGATCAATGCGAAAGCACTGCCCTCGTGTAATCACTGCACTTTGCTTACCCTGACCCTGTGAAGATTAGATGAAATAATGAATGCAATTTACTAAGTAAGAATCTGGTAAACAATGACTCAATCAATAAATGATGTTGGAAATTATAAAGCAAAACAAAGATTATCTCCTGATGCTTATCAATTTTCTTGGAAGAGAGAGATTTAGAAGCAGAAGGCAATTGGTTCCACAGCACACACCAGAGAAATCTGGACTGTCCTCTGGCTTCAGGTCACCTGCTAGCAATAATGTAGAACTTCTTCTAATTCTCCTACTGCCTCCTCACTCCCAGTAACTGTGAAATGGCGGACATGCAAAAGATCTTTAAAGAAATGCCACCAAGTCCCACATCCAGACAAATATTGTGTGTGTGGGGGAAGGGGGATGTGAAATAAATCACACAATCTGAATATCCTAATGAAAAGGTTATCACCCATCACAGAGCAGACCTAAAAGTCTACATTGTCTTTAAATGTCATTCTACAAACTCTTCCTAAGACATACCTAGCAATCTTCCAAGTCTGGCTCTGCTATTTGGACACACAAAGTATATTTTCCTTTCAGGCACAAAATCATTTCATGATTTCTAAGATCTTCATTAAAATAAGATATGCAATAAGCACGTTCTACTATAATTTGTAATTGTGTTTTCTATTTTACTCAGGGTACACACATGATATACTGGGCTCAGCTTTCTGACAATACATCGTAGTATACAGCCACACAGGAAAATTTAAAAGGTAGGAGAATTAATGACTGGATTCCATTTGCGACAGTTATAAGACTATGTGGCAAAAACCAAAAATATGTGGCCATAAAACTTTCACCTTTTATTTCATATTCTATCTACTCAACTTGTAAACGGCCAGGTCATGACATAATTTTTCTAGTTTCTAAATCGTTTTTGGAAAGAAATGGTATCAGTGTTGTAAAAGATCATCCTGTACTTACTAAACCATGCTTTCCAAAATGCAAAGGACAGTCATGTTCTACTTTATGCTAATTATTTGGCTTATTTCACTTGACCTAAGTTTTTATGGCAACCATCTATCACCATAAAAGTATACAATTGCTACAATTCAAAGTAATAAATGCAACTTGTAAAACTCAGGGTTTTTTTTTTTATTTAATACATTCTAATCAAGTAGTAACAGCAGTAAATAAACACTTTAAAAAAAAAAACAAAAACAGGCAGGTATCCCCCTATATCTGGAAGAAAATTAAGTCAAAGTATTCTACATAGTAGAAGGGAGACAACTGCTAATGTCCATGGTTAGACAATTCAAGGACAACTTGGAAGTTTCTAAAGCCATTTCCAAAATTAATGGCAACAGGCTGGGACACAGCTACTGCCAAGGGTGAAATGTCTCTATCTACATTGGTTTTTATTACCAGGGATTGAATTGCACCTGTAGAGCATGACATTCTTGTCTTTAGCCTTAAAGGAAAAGAGAAAGTCTTTTCCTGTTTGCACCAGTTTGAAAGAATTCTGAAATAAGGCTCCCTTGAAATGGATTACTACAGTACTCATTCACAGGAGAAAGTTCATACATGTAGTAAAAAGACAGATACAGGATTTCATGGTCATTTTTTTTGGTTGATTTGGTTAATTGCATAAAAGGAGGGGATAACTACTCACAAGCATGATCTGTTTAACAAAACTCTTAGGTACATCAGAATGTGAAATATAAAATGTCCTAAAACAGACTTTGATAACCAGGCATATAAAACTGAAGCTAAGCCTGGGTCAGCTTGGTTCCTTTCCTTCTTCAGTACTCCACATGGACCTCTTTCCTACTACTGGAGCTGGGAGCTTGGACCTTTGACCTAGTGCAAAGAAACTTCAGAAGGGAAAGGCATTCTGATAAAATGCTCCCTGAGCCTTTGCTTGGGATGTTTTCTTTTTAAATTAAAAGGATCATCTGGTCTTGGTCAGCCTTAGGAAAGGAAGCATCACTGGGCTGCAAATATCTGGGGGAACTTAAAATACCTAGCTACCTCTTCACACATTTAAATTAGATTGACTTCAACTGTGTTTAGGAAGAATTCTGCACAGTTATCCAGAGCAGTCACTCAAATTTTGGTTCTCTTTCACATAGCTGCATTCAGAGAGGCTCTCATATGAGGCATGTTTAGAAAAAGAGAAACACTTATACCTGGAATTTATATTCTTCCAAGTAATCTTTTAGTCTTGTGGGTAAAGGCAGTCCCCAGATGGTACCGGTACATTTGTTAATCGTGAGTCGACAGAGATGCTGTAGAGATGGTGCTGACGTGTAGAGCGGTTTGGTCAGATACAGGTGCACAGTCCCATTTCGGGGGGCTTCTGGGCCTGTCCGTTTATCCTTGCACATCTGAACGTAGTAATCAATCAGATGAACCACACTGTCAAACTGCTTAAGCTTGGACTTGACACATATGATAGAATCCAATCTGAATTTTCCATCTTGGTACTCAATTCGCAGGTTAGTTGGTCCAGCTGATGTTTTAACAGATATTGTTAGTAGGTAGTCTGAATGTGAACTATCTCTAATCAAGAAAGTTCCTTCTGGTGCCTCTTTTAATTTCTCTTTGGCTTCGTTAACAGTCATACTTCCCCAGTACCATCCTGGGGTTTTTGTTCAAAAAGAAAAAGAAAAAGGTAAAATAGTTATTATAAGAACTTTTAGAGTAGGGTCCATACTTGGCAATAATTTTTCTAGCTCTAAACAAATGTCTATGAGTGAAAGGTTATCAGGGACTACCACAAACAATTTTGATAGGAATTTAATGAAAATGTGAGTACATTTTGTTTTATGAGCACCAACCGCAAGCCAGTTTTCTTCCTCTCTTTTTAAAATAACTTTCTTACTTAGCTCTATGAAAAGATTTTCTTCTAATGGGCTAAAAGAACTTGTGCAGTAAGACACACTGGATAACAACCAAGATGCTTTCAGTACTGTTTCACTGAAACATAGATTAAGTAAGTTAGGAACAAATATGTCCTTACAAAAGTGGAAAACTCAACTCCTGTAATTTCAATAGAGTAAAAACAGAAACAACTTTTTTTGGATGGTGGGTCCCCCCTCTTCTCTTCCCCAAAGAATCTGCTAATGGCTGCGTTTCTGTTCGAAGTCCTAGAAAACACTGCTGTTTAGTTGTTTTAAATGTACAGCTCTCTTGTATGCGCTTCCGTTTGCTGCTTTGATTACAACTACCTCATCAGCCTTGGGAAAGGGGCAAGCCATGACTCACAGTACTTCAGGTTTATAATCTTTGCTACACTCTTGTGGACTTTGCCCTCTTCAAATCGAATCACAACCGTGTCGGTTTCCTAGGAATTCTCCACTTGATTCACCCAGGCCATGTCCCTAAGCCCATCCCGTTTCAACAGTGACTCAAAGACATTGTGCATTTACGAAGTTTGAACAATGTGCTGTCCCCACCCCAGCAAAAAAAAAATTAACAATAATCCCGGGATACTTGCAATCGGCCCAGGATACTTGCAATCGGCCCGGGATACTTGCAATGGGCGGGTCTCTCCGGCTGAGGGAAAGCCCGGGGCCCCCACGCGAGGACTGGAACTCCAAGTCAGGGAATTTTTCCCTCTCCCTCGCCTATTGCTACTACAACTAAGTTTTTAGGATCCAGATTCTGAAAGCCTAAATGATCTGCCAGATTATTTTTTTCCGAATCTTTTCTTTCAGATGCAGAGAGACTAGAGGGAGCCGCTCGCAGCGCAGGACTGCGGGTGAAACGAACCGCACCCGGGCGCCCCGCGCCTCCAGGCGGGGCTCCGCGGGGCTCCCGGGCAGCTGCCCTCGCCGCAGTCGGTCAGCCGCTGAACTTGGCCGCCTGGATCCCGGGCTACAGCGGCGGCTCCGCCCGGGAGCCAGATGCAGCTGAGGCTGCCGGGAGCGCAGCGCCCATTCGCCGCCCTTGCACCCACGGAAAGGGAGGCGCCGGGTGCCTTTCCCCGCCGGGGTTCGAGCCTGAGCGCCCCTGGCTGAGCAGCAAGCTAAGAGGCGATTTCTAGGGAGCCCTGCTCGCGCCCCGCCCTTCCCCGAGCCTCTACGTCCCTGGAGAGCCGCTTTCCCTTCGCAGTCCCTAACATCCGGAGCCGAGCAGGCGGGCATCCCTCTCCGCGGTCCCTCGCCCTGCAGCGGGGACGTACTTCCATCCCATTCTTTGCTTCCTACCTCGGCTCCCCCACCCAACCGCGCCTTGGGGAGGCACCCCCTCCCGCACGCGCCGCGGCCGTCCGCACCCTACCTGTGTGACTGAGCTCCCGCAGGGCCTGCGCCAGACGCGCCGCCTCCGGGGACGGCTCCTCCGCCGACCCCGAGGTACCCCACTGGCTTTGCGTCCCGTCCGCGCCATTCCTGGAGGACTCCAGGCACCGCAGGGTCATGGGAGAAGAATGACCGCCGCAAAGACAGGTGGTCGACCGAGCTGAGGTCACAGAAGGGCTGGCGTCCTTGCTGGAAGTCAGAGGGAACCCCAAAAAGACTCCTAGCTGGGGGTCCGAAATGGTGGCGGAAGGGGAGGGGATGGAGAGCTGCCGATTCTTTCTCCCCAAGTCCTGGCGGACTGATGGCAAAGTCTCTCGCAGACGCGGTTACCCACAGATCGCCTGCGAAGAGAAAGTGGGACGGGGGTTGGGTCAGTCTGACCTGAACCCCAGTGGCTGGGGTGGGGGTGGGGAAACGCAGACGTGGAAAATCCCGGGGACTCCTCCGCCTCCAAGCTCCTGTACCATTTAACCCCAAGCATCCAATTACCGCCCTGCCCCAGCTCTGGAGAAAAGATGGATAAAGACAGCAGGAATCCAAGACTCAGGAGTTGGTGGGGTTGGGGGGAGAGTAGGAGACAGGATGAGAGTGAACGTGTCTTCTCGCCCAGAGCGGCTCCCAGAAATCACAAACTGGAAGCCTGGGAAACACAATTAGTCACACACCTGCGGGTCAAGTGCGGCTAGGCCCCTGTCATGGACAAGGAGAACATTTTAAAAAGGACAGCTCTCCCAAACTGGCATTTTCATCTTAAACCTCGAGCAGCCCGAGGGCCCCTGGAAGGAAGCACCCGATAAAACCTGGTCCCACACCCTAAAGCGCCGCTGGGCTCCCAGGGCCCGGGCGGCCAGCCGCGGGTGCAGAGGTGCGCAAGCGGCCGCATCCCCGCAGCGGAGGTTGCCTCGGCCCCCTCCCCCGCTTCCCCGGGCGCGATCCGGGCAGAGGCGGGGGACGCCGCCCGGTGCCGTGGAGGTCGCTCCGGGACGCGGACGGCTGCTGCCGCTGTGCCGCGGCGGGCGCTGTCGAGGAATCGGCCCGAGCGCGCAGCCCCCGAAGGAGCTCGAAGCGAGGCGGGGGCCGAACGGGCAGCGGTGAGCGCGGCGGGACGTGCAAACAACCAACGCCGAGCTCTTACCTCGGCCGCGGGCGCCGCCGCCTCCGCACCAGGCAGCCTCCCCAGAGGACATGGGGCGGGGGAGCTGGCAGAGGAGGGGTGTCCGCCCGAGTTTCCCCTGACGTTTAATTTGGGAATGAGATGCCTAGAGATGCGACCAGCCCTGCGCTCTGCGGAAGCGGTCAGACTTCTCTGCGCAGAGGACAGACAAAAATCCCCGGGATCATCGCTCCGACATACGCCCCCCGGCCCCGCCCCGGGCTGCGACACCCCCTGCCCCAGGCAGCTGCATGGTTTCCCTTCAGCCACGACCAAAGAGGTGGGAAGGAGAGAGGGCGGGAGGAAGGAGCAAGGGCGGAGGCAGGCTGGTGGGGAGGGGCGGGAGATCAGGTTATAAGGAGGGTAATGGATTTGGATGGCAGTTTAGGGGGTGGGCGAAAGAACCAAAACAAAACTCCGGAGACTTCCCGACGCTGAAAAGGAACCGGAGAGTAGACAGTGGCTCCCGGGTGCGGGGCAGAGCCGTGGCTCGAACTCATCATCCCCCCGGCCCCCGGCGCCCTGAACTGCGGAAGCCAAGGCAGACCGCCGCTCCCCGCGCACGCGGCCGCGCCCCGCCGCCCTCCCCAGCCAGCCACTGTCCTCGCGCGGAGCCTTCGGGCTCCCCCCACCGGTACCTGTCGCGTGCGTCCGCGCTCCGGACGCCGGGGAGCCTGAGGCTGTGCGCCGGGGGCCCCGGCGCGCAGTGTCTGCGGCCCGCGTAGCGCCGGTGGCTGCGGGCGAGGAGGCTCATGCTTCAAGGGAAGCCCAAGGCCCTCGAGCCGCGGCGGCGGCGAGACTTGGCAAGAGTTAAACGTCTATCCCCGGAGCAGTGTGTGCGCGCGACTTCGCGGCCCGACGCGCCTCCCTCGCTCCCCGCCTCCCTCCCCCCCGTCCGCGCGCTCGCGCCCCGCCCGGCGGCTGCGGAGGCCGCTTTCCAGGAACTTTCCAGGAATCCGCCTCACGTGACCGCAGCCCCCGCTACCGCTTTAAAGAGGCTGGGGCGCCAATGCGCAGGCTTCAAGGAGGACGGGCGGAGAGCTGCGGTTGCGGGCGCCTGCGGTGTGGACGCGCGGGACTCCGCCCTCCCCCAGCCCCACTCCTCAAGGTGCAGGGGGCCAACGGGAGAAAAAGTCCTGGCCACCGCCAACCCCGATTTGGCGGCCGCTGCCTGTCATCACCGGTGTCAGCCAAATACCCCGATCCGGCGAATAGCAACCGGCCTCGGCCCCTGCCGCGGGAAGGGTCATTCTTTCTATCCACCCCCCGCCTCCTAGACGCGACCCTCCGCGCCACATTTTGGGGGAGGGGGTTGCAGGAGAGGATCGGGGGGTCCTGGAAAACCAGCCCCTCCTGCTCTAAGACACCACCGATGGAGTTGGGGCACCGCTGCCAGTCGAGTGCCACCCCCTCCCCGCTCCGGGTTCCTCTGGAGCCTGGGAGCCCGAGGCTGCCCCCTCGGCCCCGGCCCTAGAAGCAGCGATCGGGCGGCGACAGGCGCCTCCTTAAGGCGCGCGAGCCGCTCTCAGTCCCTCCTCCCGGCGCTCGGGCTCGCGATCTCCCGCACCAGCCCTACCCCGCTGCTCCCTCCCTCCTCGGCCCCTGTCCACCGTCTCTTTCTCGAGGCCCTGCGGCCCGGCTGGATCACCTGCGGGGGCTGCGGAGCAAGAGCCCTTACCTGCGCGTCCGGAAGGTGGCGGGGGTGGGCTTCGGTCCCCAATTCCAGAGAGCGCTCGTCGCTGTGATTCCCTGCTGGGCGGGCTCTCGGGACCAGGGAATTCGGAAGGATCGCAGCACCTCTTCCCTCCCGGGACCCTCACCTTCCCACCCCGTTGGAGACCACCTAGCCTTAGCAGAAACTTAACCTTCTTGCCTGCACGCCCGTCCCCAGAATGTGACCTACTTTAAATATGACCTACTTTTTAAAAAACCATTAACACTCATGGGAAAACCGGATCCAAAATTTCGATAACCATTTTTCTTTGAAATACTACTCTATTGCATCATTGCTCAAAAGCTTAAAAGGTCAATGGCCACTTTTAGTTGAAGCGGTGGCTATGGGGAAGTTGGGCGAGAAGGCGGAGAGGGTGTGGGGGAGGCGCGGCCTGCAAACCTTGCTTGGTGCCCCGCCTGCCGGCTCTAGAAGGAAGCGCCAGCCGGCTCCCAGCTGTAGGGCCGGAGTCATGCACCAAGGTTTTCCGCAGTTGTTTTCCTGCTTTTGAGTAGGTCTATTCACATGATAGGCGGGTGAGACCCGGAGGGGACATTTCCCAGCTGACAAAGGACTTTATCAACCATGGAGTCGTGTGCCGGTGTTTTTACAGTCTTTGACGGGCAAAATTGGAGCTAATTAAAACCCTATTAGAAACTGAATTATTGAACAAGTCATTTTACCCTTTGTGGACCCCCTGCTTTCTATAAAATTAAGAACTGGATTAGAGTTTGGGCGCAGGTAGCTCACGCCTGCAATTCTAGCTACTTGAGAGGCTGAGATTCAGACAATTGCGATTGGAGGTCAGCCCTTGCAAATAAAGACACCCCATCTCCAAAATAACCAGAGCAAAATGGACTAGAGGTGTGGTTCAAGCGGTAGAGTGCCTGCCTTGCAATCGTGAAGCCCTGAGTTCAAACCCCAGTCCCATCATTAAAAAAAAAAAAGAGAGAAGAAAATTGGATTCGAGTCTTGGTGAAGAACTAAGGTGAATGAACAAATGAGATTCCACATAGAGTTTGTGTGGAGTCCGAGACTCAAAGTCAACTCTATGAACCCCTAAATCTACTAAGGTTCACTAAGCCCTAAATTATTCTCTGTGGCTTCTTTTTCCTTGGTGGAGAATCCCAGAGGAGGGGTGTAACCACCGTTCTATAGCTTAAGTTAAAAGATATTCCTAAATTTAATTTAATTTCTATCTAATTGTCAAATTGTAATAAATCTTCCAGAAGCCCTTTTTTTATGTGTCTCCCCAGGGCCTTTGCACACGCTGTCCCTCTTTCTAGAATGCCACTCCCTGACTGGGTGTAGAGCAGGCTGTCATCAGGGGCCTAGCTCAAAGTCACAACCACTGTCCACAAACATGACAGTAAGCACAACACTAGCTAGAAGAACGCCAAGCTTTGTATCAAAGTATGATTTTTTTACTTTCATTTCTAAAATATTTTTCAGCAATCCCCAGCATTTTTTTTTTTGGCCTTTTTAATCCTCAAAAACATAGATGGGAGCCATGTAGGAAAATGTTGACAGTATCATGTCAATGGAAAAAAGCTGAGCTTGAACTTGTAGCTTTGCTAGGATCACATTATACAATTTTGTATGCACGTGGACAAAACCAGAGGGCAAGGTGGAGGAATGAACGCAGAGGTAGGATATAGGTGAATTTTTACATCTTTCTTTCATGCTTTTCTAGTATCTTTGAGAGAGTTACATTTTTTCCAAAATCAAATGTGAGTTGATGTTTTCAATTACTCTAATGAAGCAGAGTGTCGTTTATAGAGCACCCTGAGCTCGGCATCACCCTTCAGTTGCCTAATAAGCACCCCCGACTTAATGTCCCAAACTGAGACATGTTGATGCTTCCCCTCTCAGATAAAAGCAAAGGCAAGCCATTCCTCCTGCACTCTGCCTGCCTCGGAACATGTTGGTTCCATTCTAGGTTGCACTGGCCAAAGGCCTTAGAACACGGTTGACTTCTCTCTTTCACACACATCCCACATCCCACCTGCCGGCCAACCCTGCCACTCCAATTTCACAATCAATCCAGAACTGAAGCTCTTGCTACATGTCCACTGCACACCAGGTCAAATCACCCTAACCTCTGTTCAGATGACTGCCTCAGTCTCCTGAAAGGCCTCTTTGTCCCTCTGCAACAGAGTAGTGAGAATAATTCTGTATACACAGGTCATTTCACACCCCTCTTCTGGCTGCATTGCACCCAAGTAAAAGACAAAAAACCCTAAGAGCCACTGGTAAAGTCCTGCAAGGGTTGGTCCCATTTATGTCTCATTCTCAGTTCTTCCTGCCCTGTTCCTTGATCACTCAGCTCTGGACTGCTTGTTGTTTCTAGAACATGCTGCTCTTGCTCCTCCACACGTCCTTTGGATTTGCTGTTTTCTCCACCCTCTTCTTTCAGATATCTGTATGCCTTGCTCTTTGATTTCCTCAGATCTTTGTTTAATGTTCCCTTCTTTGAGAGATTTTGTCTCATCACCCCACTCAGAACTGACCCTTACACACACACACACACACACACACACACACACACACACACTTGTTCCTCTTCCAGGCTCTAGGTTTTTCCTTAACCCTGATCACTGTCTAACCTAATTTGTGTTTTATTTTTCTGTTTAACTTATTTTTCTCCTCTACTAGAATGTATTTTTGCTTTGTTTTTAGTGGTGCTGGGGTTTGAACTCAGGGCCTCATGCTTACTAGGCAGGAGCTCTCCCACTTGAGCCATGGCCCCAGGTTGGGCTTCATGTATTTTCACTTGCATTGTTCACACTGAAAGTGCTGGTTTTTTAGCACTTTGAACAGTTGTCAGCATGGAGGAAGCATTCAACATAGTTGTTGAATGAATAAATAACACATTAGCAGCTTAGCTTTAAGATTAAACTATGCAAGTATGAATCCTCACTGTTACCACTTGCTACATGTGTGATTATTGGCAAATTATTCAGCCTCTTTTTGGGTTGGGGGCATGGCTCAAGCAGTAGAGCACCTGTCTAGCAAGCACAAGGACTGAAGTTCAAACTCCAGTACTACAAAAAAGTTATTTATCCTCTTATGGAGCTAATAATGTCACAAGGGTATTGTAGGATTCAATGAAATAATCTGTGAAGAGTGTTTTGGGAAGCCCTTTGTAAAGATTAGCTGTTCCATTGACTATCACCCTTTCATTCTCAGCAAGTTTAGATTTTTTTCCATACGGATGAGATTGTTTCAGATTGGCCTATAGGAACCCTCCCCTTCCCCATAGGCCCCACCTGTGGCTGCCTGAGACCTCCATGGAATCGATCACTTGAATTCCTGTTCAGTTTTAAAATTTATAGGTGTCAACGTGACTCCATTGATTCCTACACACTCAGGAACGCCAGCATCTCTTCTGTTTGGTGGAGCAAATTCACAGCTGCAGGGATGAGGTGTGTTCCACTTGAGGAGGGAAGGGAGGGAGGTTTCCCACAGCTGGGGAGTTCCTGCCATTGCCTGCATTAAGAGGCAGCCAAGGCATGAAACCTCTGTGTGTCGAACCAGACTCGACACTTCTGGTTCAGCAGTGCAGATGTTCTACTACTGGAACTGACAGGTGCTCCACACTGGGCTTCTGCCAAGCTACAGAGAGGGTGTTTTAGGTTTTTGGGGTGGGGGTGCGTAGGAAGTGATGAGGTGATTGTGTATGACTCCCATGTGGGCATAAGGTACACTGTTTTTGTTTGTTTTTCTTTTTTGATGGTACTGGGGTTTGAACTCAGGGCCTTGCACTTGCTAGGCAGGCGCTCTACCAGTTGAGCCACACCACCAGCCCCAGAAGGTATATTTTTAAGTGTCCACTACCCCTTCCTCTTCGAATTTGCCATGTCCCTACAGTCACCACACATCAGCAGTCTTGGGCGTCCCTGTGATTCTGGCACCAACTCCTCTGGAGCCCATAGGAGGTTAGCCTATAGGAATGGCTTGTACCCTTGGACACAAGGCCTTGTCCACAAACTCCTGCAGGCCAACCATTTTCTTCAGAATTTGAGGCAAATGCTGCACGAGAAACAGCAATAATAGCCAGCAAGCTCACTTTTATTTTGTTGCTTGGAGGGAACCTGGCAAACTATGAAGGCAAGAGAAAAAGAAAGCAGAGCTAA